TGATACGGCATATGTAGTAGATATGGCACGATTTCGGTAGTATGATATGACCCATCCTGTCGTATGTAGTATCACGTCATACAACATCGGTGGTACCATGGGAGACAGCATACCTGACAGACATTGGCAGATCATGGGTAGTGCTACGTGGCACGACATCTGGAGTCATGCGGCGCGTCATGAGGGATCGCGGATGCTGCGATGCTGCGCTGGAGGCCGTACGTCCGACACGTCAGATGTATTAGGAACCAACACATCAGATGCACGAGCTGTGGCATGCCCTATCGTGCACCATATGTACGTAGTGCCATCTGGTACGTCATATGTGATATAATGTGGCACAACATGCACACCCCAACTTGACGCGTGGTAAGTAGTACCACGTGGCGCCGCATGGCTAATACAATGTAAAATACCATGTGTAATGTGAGATGATGCATCATGGGTAGCCATATACGACCATGCGTAATATGATGTGATAGACACCTGGTCGTAGTACCTGGCACGCCAAAGGTTTCTTATTCATATACATACATATAAATATAGATATTATATATATATAGACGTACACATATAATGGTACCGGAGAAAAACAATCAGGGCTATAGGGTTAGGGGGCTATAGGGCTATTGAGATATAGGGCTATAGAGCTATAAGGCTATAGAGTTGTAGGGCTATAAAGCTATTGGGCTATAAGGTACCCCCGGACACCCCCGGGCACCCCCGGGCACGCCCGGGCACCCGGGCACCCGGGCACACCCGGGCACCCGGGCACCCCCGGGCACCCTCTGGGCACCCCCAGGCACCCCCGGGCACCCCCGGGCACCCCCCGGGCACCCCGGGGCACCCCCGGGCACCCGGGCGTGCGGCGAAAATCGGCGGCAAACCTAACCTAACCGTATTGATCCGCTAGGACCCCTACAGAGGCAAGCTCTGATTGGGAATTATGGAGAGAGATGCAGAGCCCAATTGGTTTCTCATCGGATCCTAAAAGGAAGGCCCTCAGTGGATTCCAATCGGACTCCTAATGGATGTCAATAGGAATTCCCCGTTGGGGTCCTACCGGGTCCCTTGTTGGTTCGGGTACAATTTTGATTGGATCCTTATAAGGAGGCTGCCAGTTATTCAATTCCAATAGGATTCCGATGGGGTTCCCAAAGGGTCCCGGCTGCATCCCCATAATTAAGCCCTTGCTGGATTCGAATCGAAAGGCCTCCTATTGGATACCAATCGGCTTCCTTTTGGATGCCATTAGTGAGGGCTCCTGTTAGAATTCCATAACCATATTTGAATTTCGTAGGGACGCCTCCGATTGGATTTCGATTGGTTTCCTCTTAGACCCCTAAATGGTTCTTCTTGGAGTCCACTAGGCCCTTTATACAAACCAAACAGGCACCACGGCATAGCATGGCCCACCAGAGTTTCGCAAGGCTTGCTACGGCTCAGCAAGGCTAACAAAGTTTAGCAGTGCTTAGCAAGAGTTGGCAAGGAATGCACAGTGTTTACCAGGGCTTAGCTTAGCAGGGCAGGGCTCACCAGGGCTTACCAATGTATAGCAAAGCTTGGCAAGGCTTAATACGTCTGAGCAGGGCTTAGCAGAACTAACAGAGCGTAGAAGGGCGTACTAAAGCTTACCAGGGCTTCGCAAGGCCGTGCAAAGTTTAGCAAGGCTTACGGGGGCTTGGCAGGCTGTAGCAGGGCTGAGCAGAGCAGCATCTAAACAACTCAGCAGGGTGTGCCAGGGCTTTGTTGGGCTTAGCAAAACTTAGCAATATTCAAACGAGCGGAGCAGGGCTTAGCCTGGTTTACCCAGGCTCAGCAGGGCGTATGAGGGCTTGGGCGCAGGTTTGCTGGTGCGTGCAGGGAGGAGAAGAGGAGAGGGCGAGGGGAAGGCGGAATGCGAGCAGAAGGAAGTGGAGGAAGAGGAAGAAGAAGAGAGGAGAACAGGGAAAGGGGCTTTGGAGTGCATTGTTTGGGGTTCGACGCCTTCTTTCGGCTTACGGGGCATCCAGAAACGGCGAAGGGTGCCAGGGCTGGGGGGATCTCTCTGGAGCTCCTGGGCAACTGTTGGAAGTTCTTTGGGGGCCTCTGGCACCTCTGGGGATGGTCTGGGGCCTCCGTAGGGGTCTCGGGCGCTCTCTTGGGGCTTCCCTGTCACCACCGATCGCAGCGAGGGGTGGAGACTTACTGGGGCCGCTGCTTGCTGGTGGGTGCAGGGAGGAGAGCCGGAGAGGGTGTGCAGAAGGAAGGCGAGCAGAAAAACGAGAAGGAGAGCGGCATCGGAGAGAGTGAGGGTGGAGGATTCCAGAGCCAGAGGAGGAGGGGAAGGAAGAGAAGAGTGGAGGACGGGGGGAGGAGCTTCCTGGGGCCCTGTTTGGAGTCCAGGGCTTTCTTTTGTGGCCACTGTCGTGGAGGTCTCCCCTGTCCCCCCCGATCGGCCGGGGGTGGGGGGGGAGAAGTGTGCTTCTGGGTGCAGGGGGGAGGAGAGGGCGAGGAGGGA